ACATCTCTAGTGACCCCTGCAGGTGTCTTTTGGTGCTTTGCAAAGGAAAGTGGTCCTAATTGATGTGCTGAATTTGGGGATGGTGAAAGCTGAAGCCACAATACCCTGCAATTCTATCTATGTCAACTCAGAGATAAGCCCCATTGAGCTCAATGGAACTTACCCCCAGAGATTCACAAAGGATGGATTTTCTGACATCACCGTTGAAACACTAGCACAACTGGGGCATGGGAGAGCAGGGAGAATGGCTTTAGAGGCACCCAGATGGTTCAAATCACCTATCCTAGAAAAGCACATTCTACACAGATTTTAATCACACAACGCATGCAGTATAGCATAAACCAGAACATATTGTGCAAGTGGTAGAACAATGAACAACCTTTGCTTGAGAACCTTGAAAATAGACATCAAGGCCAGTTATTAGTTCAGATTTCACAATAGTGGGTTATCTGGCCCACTGAGCTGCCAAGAACACCTGGGGTTATTTGGTAAGATTCTGCACGGTCAGGTAAGGACTACTGCACCCAAAGCACATGCACAAGGATGCTGGAACATTGCTCATATTTCCCTCATGCCCTTGGCGGTCCCTCACTCAGGAGATTTATTGCTGGCACTGCAGTCTGTGCAATGATTTCCCTCTGTCCAAGAAGTAGGGTGTGGATTGGAGATACAGCCTTTCATCCTTGCATCTGTTTCTAATTTAGCACTGAAACACACACTAAGAACACAGAAGAGTGTCACGAGAGATGGCATTTCTATCTTGGTAAACTTAAAATTACATTTATTTATAAGAAGCAGGAGTTATCTTCTGATCTTTGAAAATTTGCATCAACTATCAGTTTAGTTTCTGACTTACTCGTGGTTTTACCTATTTATTTGCAATCCTTTTATGTACAGCCAATTGCACAAACAAGTTTCTCAGAAAGAGGCCGATTCCCACATATGTGGGAATAGAATTTACCTTTATTCTGCCCTTCCTCCAAGAAGCAGATTTTTAACTGCACAGCCCCAAGGCCAGCTTTGCTGAGAGGCAGTGTCTTGCCAGGATCTCCCTGGCTGAAACATCAATTGAGAACTTCACATTCTTCACTTGCAAAGAAACTTATATTCTAGACCTGGAAGGATGAACACCCACCACTTGCTATTCGACGCCCTGGAGATCTTACTGCCTTGTTACCCTCACAACTTTGGAATGTGCATTTGAACTGACCATTTCATCTGGATGCTTACTTAAATATAGTGTGCGCTTACATGAATGTATATATTTGAAAGAGAAGTGTTGGAATCTTTTTTCACGGTTTATCTTGTTTAAACCAATACCTTTAATGGATTTAAGTTTGCTTTTTTGTTGTTCCTATTTTCTCATTCCTTCCTCTCTTTTTTGGTTGTAATTGCAAATATTTTTTTTAAAAAAAATATTTTTTCAACTTTCACTTCAGACTTGTTTTCCCTCTTTTTATAATTATAGCAGTTTTTTTTGTGGGTGAAAGGGGAGTGCAGAGATGAAATCAGTAATTCTTAAAGCAATAAAATAGCAGTAATTCCTCTGCAACCTAGTGCTTTCCAGAAATACTGCAACTCCCAGTGGCTCTGCTGGCTGGGAATGATGGAAGTTGCAGTCCAACACATCTGGAGGGCACTTATTGGAAAAAGCTAACATTTTGGCAAATCCTGTACTGTAGAAATTGTAATTTCTACAATTGGACTTATACTTGTAATTAAACAAATGCAATGTTTTGTCTTGTATTTTATTGTATGCTGCTTAGAGTGCCCTATTGAGTTATTCAGCTGCCTATAAATTTAAAAATAAAATAGCATAAATGATGTGACATTGGCCAGGTTCAGTACAATACGATCTCATAGTCAAACAGCAGACAACAAGAAAAGGGTCCAGGGAAAAGCCATTTCAAAGTGCAATAAAGAAGTTTTAATATTTAGGGGGAATATACCCCCCCCACACACACACACACAAACAAGAGTTCTTGAAGGTTAGTTTCATACAAAGCACCATAAATTCCAGTCCATTCTGTCCATGTTGCTCCAATCTCTTTCACTAAGCACCAGTTATTCCTCAGTATCCTGGTTTAGCACCAAAGAGGTTTCTTTTAGCACCACGGTTTGGAAATCTGATTTAGCACCAAAAAGCAAGCAGTCAAACTTGCATGCCCTCCAGCCCATACACATTTTGTCCTGACATGAAATGCAGCTTCCCAGTAAAAACATTAGAGCTCTTCTGACATTGGAATGGAAGCAAAGGCAATTTGAGGAAATCAGAGCTAAGGTCTGGAAGTGATTCAGTGCTAGAGATTCCTGCTGTTCTCTAGAGAGACACAGGGACGCCGCGCGTTGCAAATAGACAACAGCTGGTTTCCCAATCTGTGCTTTGCAGGAAGGAGGGATTCGTTTTCTTGCTCAGTCAGTCCCAGATTTCCTGCCTAAAGGAGCATGATGCTACACCTGGACCCTCCTCCTCAGAATCCCGCTCTGCAGGGCTGCCTGCCAGATCAATAATAAATGTCCCATAAACTTCCCAAACTTATCTGGATACCCTGAGATATATGCCAGCTTTGGAGGCAAGCTCTAGTTTTCTACCTGCTAGCTACATGGGAATGTTAGAGGCAGCGTGTATGCATTCAGCAGAATATGCGCATGCACATTCACCAGTCATACATAAAAGTTGCTGTTAACATACTACAGCCAACTTGTTGCCCTCCAGATCTTTCGGGCTACAACTCCTACTATGCCTGGCCAGGCTGATGGAAGCTGCAGTCAAAAATATCTGAAGGACATGGAAGACAGTGCATGGTAACATACGAACTCTTAGCAACTACAGAGCACTTCATGGAATGTTCCATGTGCAATCTGGACAACAACCCTGTATGGTAGACCATGTTCACCCTCACCTGACGAATGTGGGGCTTCGGATTGGCTGAGAGAGCTAGGTGGGATTGCTATTGGTTATGCATTCAACCTTGCAGAAGGGAGAGGGGAAAGGATGCTCACTTGTATCCTCTGAAGTGAGTGTGCCTTGAGATGCAATTTGGATGAGAGAAGCAAATCCTGGCCATGGTGACCACCATCTATTATGTCCCTGCAATTGAGAGCTGGCTGCATTGCACAAGATGGATACAGAAATCACCTGCTGCACCATGTTCTGAAGACAGACATGTGAATCTGCCTTTTGACTGTGCCAGATTGTTTGTTTGTTCATCCAGCCTGGTACTGTCCACCTTTCAGCCAGGGGCCTTTCACAGCTCTGCTACCTGAGACTCTTTTAGGTGAACATGCAAGGAACACAGCCTGAGACCTTGGAGGTACATGGCATGCCCTCTGCTACAGAACTATGCCCCTTCTTTGTGCTGGATCACTCCCACTTGCCTACTGTATGGCTACTTCCTGATAAAATTGCTGGATGCTCAGAAACTAGTCCATGCTGTCCCTGCCAGCCATGTGACTTCAATTTCTTCTGCATCCCTGGATTAATATACCAATAGCTAACCATTCTCTGAATATGGCTCCTTACATAGCTAAAACACCGCCACCTCTGCATAAGAGATCAGTATCAGCAGGTCTAGGTAAACCTCAAGGTTTATAGACTTATATATAGAGTAATGGGGAAAGCACCCAAAACAGCCCAATGAAGACTAGGCATAGCTTTCTGGTTGGCTGTTGGGTGGAATGTGAAGTCATATGGAAAACCTGGACCAGGTGAAACCAGTGGAATATGAAGAAAAACAGCACGGCAGGCATCTCCAACAAGAGAACATACACAACATTTCGTTGCAGCTCTCACTTGTGAAAATCACATCTTCTAGTACCCGGGCTGTGAATGGCTTATTTCTTTTACAGTTAAGAGCCTACCAGGATAGAGCAGCAAGGGCCCATCCTGGTCTGCATATGTGCAAATGGACCTGAATGCCTACCATAAGCAGAGGTTTATTTACAAGCAGTTGAGTCCTTCTTTTGTTCAGACCCCCCGTATCTTTAACATGTACGCTTTCTGTAGGGATTGGCCACCATCTAGTTCTAAACTTGCAGGGCACAATCCAACTCAAAGGATTGTAAGAGGAAGGCCCAGCAATTCTGTGCCGTTTCTCCTGATTCTGGCCTTTATGTGAGAAGTGCATAGGAAAGAACAAATTTCAGCCTAACGAACTGCAACAGCACCTGTTCCGGGACTCATGTTGAATCTGTCTGCCTTGTGATTTCTATGGTAAGTTTTTAACCCATTGGCTTTCTGAAGTCAATCCTAATGTAGACGAGCTAAGTCTATTTCAGTTTGGTGCTACTTAATGGAGGATGTCCCTAACCCCATGCATGGGACTGATTAATTTAGCTCTGATTTGCAGACCTGACTCCAAGAGATTTGAACAAGCTGTGATCTGCCATGCTGATGGGGCTCAGCAGTCATCTATGGCAACCCACCAAGGGTTCAATAAACCCCCTGATTTTTCTGCTGCCAAAGCAAGGGGACCTCATACACTTGGCAGGCCATATTGATGATAGGCTGCATTTGGCTTTGGATCTACCTAAAAATATAACCTTCTTGAGAAAGCTCAAATCACTTTCCCTCCAGAAACAAGACTACTGATCAGATATTGTGTTCAGTGGTGGTCTAACTTGAGTCCCACTCATTTCAGTGGGCCTACTCTAAGTAGGACTAACAGTGGCTACAACCCACTGATTAGGAAGCATCACATGCTAGCAAGCCATGCGTGGAATCTGTCTGTGACAGTGGATGAAAAGGTTTCTTTGGACACACTGGTGAAGCCAGCTCTAACATCACAGTCTCGTCTGGGCTTACAAATCAATCAGCAAAAGCTATTCTTGTAACTAACGGTGACTTCAGAGCCAGAAAGACTCTTCTTCTCCAGTCGGCATTCTCCTATCTCCTTCAGCCCCACTTCAGCAACTTCCATGTATGATGTGCAGCAGTTTGCAGGGAGTCTGAAGAGGATGCTTTCGGGGAGGTGGAAGAGCTGCTCTGGAGGGGAAGCCCCTTATTCGAGGCTGGGCTTGATCAGGTAGCCACTGAAGGTGATGTAGATGTCCACTTCATCGCTGTAGATGGCATTGTCGCGCTCACGCTTGTAGAGACGGACCCAAACTTCATCATTCTCCCGCAGCTCCAGCATCAGGCTCTGGCTCTGCATGATGCTGCGGTCACTGGGCTGGGCATAGAGGATCACCTCTTCCTGGTCATTGCGCATGACGTGCATGTAGGTCTCCTTGAAGTTCCAGGTGTGGACGTTGAGGCTGAAGAAGTACAGGCCAGCCACATAGCAGTAGAACTTGCCCTTGAACATGTCAAAGTGACTATAAAGGTTGACAAAGACCGTGTCGAAGATCAGGGCCTGGTAGCCCTCGCTGCTGTGCAGTGCCTTTTTGCGGCCCACGGAGAAGGCTGCGTACTGGTGCTTGCAGGGATCCCCTGGAGCCCCCATTTGTCCTTTGCTGCCCTTGGGGCCGGGGGCTCCTCGTTCACCAGCAGGCCCCTCTTTGCCCCATTTCCCAGGAACCCCAGGCTCACCTTGATCTCCCTTTTCTCCTGGGAAAGAAAAACAAACACGAAGTGTGGTGGGGTCTCAGGCCAACCACAGGTTTGGAACAACTTTCTAGGAGGAAATGGGCTTTTTCAAATGACAAAATGAGTAAGAATGGCATGAGAGAGGTCTATCTATTTGTAACGTGGAGAAAGTGGGGAGGGAAACCTCTTCTCCGTCACCCAGAAGAAGAGCCATGCTGAATCAGACTGGGCTCCAGCTAGTCCAGCATTCTCTTCACACTGGGGCCAACAAGCTGCCCATGGGAAACCCACAAGCAGGACAGGAGTGTAACAGCACTCTCTCTCTCTCTCTCTCTCAAGCTTCCCAACAACAGGTGCATAGAGGCGCATCTGGCATGCACTTTTCCACCCCTCTTTTAAAGCCATCCTAATTGGTGGCCATCAGTACATTTATTTATTTATTTAAAACTTTTGTATGCCGTCCCATCACTGTCATCCTGGGACAATTCACAATAACAGCAGTAAAGTAAGATAAAAAGATAAAAATGGCAATATAAAAATAGCACAGCTTCTAATAAATATAAAAACCACAGATGAAGACAATTAGTGGGAAAATAAAAAAGGTTTTCATCTGGCCGAAAGGAAAAAAGTGTTGGCACCAGGTGAACCTCTCTGGGGAGCACGTTCCACAATTGGGGTGCCACTGCAGAGAAGGCCCTCCTCTGGGTAGCCACCCTCCTAATCTCTTTCAAGGAAGGCTCTCGAAGAAGGACCTCTGCCTCAGATCTCAAGGGGAGGGAGGGCACATAGGGAAGAAGGTGCTCCTTCAGACATCTTATGAATTTCACAGTGTGACTGCATACTGGATGAAGAAATACTTATCTGTGGCTCTCCTGAGTGCTGGAACCTGGGATCAAACCATGAAGCTGACTGGTGGGGGAGTCAAAGGAAAAGGGAACCCTTCACAGTACGCTCAGTGAACACTGTGTAATTTGCTGCCACAAGATGTAGCAATGGCTGCCAACTCTGGGCACTTTAAAAAGGGATCAGACAAGTGCATGGAGGTTAAGGATATCTAGTGCAATCGGCTATCGTGGCTCGATATTCTTTCCAGCAGCAGAGGCAGCATTGCCTTGGTATAGCAGTTGCTAGGGAACACGAGTGGAAGAGTGCAATCACACCAATGTCCTGCTTGTGTGCTTCTCACCAGTATCTGGCTTGTGAAAAGTGTGTGAAAAGTGAATGCTGCACTAGAAGCCCTTGGTTTAACTCAGCATGGCTCTTCTTGTGATCTTAGGGCTTCTGGGTGGCCTGGGAGCCCTGCCTCCCCATGTGCTTCCATGCACATGCAGGCGCATGATAAAAGGCCACCAAGGCTGACACCAGGGGCGGTGGGCTGCAGGGGGCGGGGGTGAAAGGCAGAGGCAACAGGAGCAGCTCTGTCCCTAGAGAAATCCTTGAAAACACAGGATGGGAAGCAGCAGCAGATTCTTGGGAAATCCTTGCAGAAAGGAGGGTGTATCCAAGCAAAGCGTACATGGTCTCTCCTTGTACACTGCTTGGATACATCCTCCTTTCTGCAAGGTGTACATGGTCTCTCCTTCAACCCCCATGTGCAGCAGCCCGTCCAACTGTATTACAAACTCTTTTACATCCAGCTTGAAGAAGTGGATTTCCTTTGTTCCCTGAACTTACTGGGCTGGGCATTTTTAGGCCAAGACTAAGCCATTTTTAAGCCAGATCAAACCACCCCTTGGAGTACAGATTGCCTTCTGCAACCTGCCCCCACCCTGATGTGTCAGACTGCAGCTCTTATTGGCCATTCTAGCAGGAGATGATGGGAGATGTAGTCCCTTCATTTCTGCAGGGTGACCCAGTTGGGAAATACTGTATGACAGACATGGAAAACTCATTTTAGACTGAGAAATGCAACTTACAGCCACATTTAGTTGAAAATAATCTAGGGCTTAGATACCCTTATTTATTCCTTTCATATGCATGCAAGCACACACATAAAGCACCAACAGTGTCATAAAATACCTGCAAAAGGCAGGTCCTTGCCTGGTAGAGCTTACAATGGGGCTTCAGTCACTGAAGTGAGATGGGGAGAGAAACCCCAAGGGAAGAGAGGGTGGGGCAAAGGGAACAAAAGATGCCTATGTATGTACTTACCCTTCAAAATGGTGATGTTGATATACGGCCGGACCTCTGGCATGATAAAGTGAGGGCTGTTTGTGCTGAGACTGGCCTCCGAGGGTGACCCAGGGCCATCTGGTGGATCACAGCAGCGCCTGCAGCCATTCAAGGGAGCTGTGACTTTTGAGGGGTCAGCCTCATCTGTGGGAGCCCCAAAAATGAAGAGCGGCAACAAAAGGAAGGCCAAGGGAACGCACATCTGGATGGCTTCCATAGTGAGCTGGCAGGGAAGGCAAGGAGAAGGAGAGAGAACCAGGACCGATGTGAAAAGGTATGGTGCCTTGATTCACCACAAGAACACCTCAGAAGCAAGGAGAGGCTGGGAGGACAGAAAGAACAGAGGGGAATCCTCTGCACATCGGAGCCCTGGAACTACCACCCATGAGCCTAGGCTGCTTTCCTGCACAAAGCCATTGTCCATTCAGCCCAGTATTTTCAACATGACTAGCAGCAGTGACTCTGGACTGGAAGCAGGACTGAGCCCTACCTGCAGATACTGGAGACGGAACCCGAAAACCTCGGCTTGGAGCCACATCCTCTCACATGACATCATTCCTTGCCAGTTCGGAAGCCTGAAATGGCCCTCATTATAAGGGAACAACTCTCCTGCCACTTTTGGGGTGGGGGAAGGAGGCATTTGGGGATTCCTGTGAACTCTTACAGGATGAATCACCTGTAGGACTACAGGTTTAGGACCACACCTCTCATCATCCCCAGCCAGATAGCCATTTTCTTTCTCCATTGTATATGACTGCTTTGAAGTGGTAAGTTGCTCATGATGCTGCTATGCCTGCCGTGACTAGTGGCTCTCGTTAGCCATGGTGATGAGCAATGCTGCCACATTTCCAGCAAGTGAAGCTTCCAAAAAATAAATAGAAAACCAGCAATTTCCAAATATCCAACAGAAACGTGTATAAGTTTCATACTAAGCACAACAGGCTTTGTACAGGCAAATCAGATGTAGTCTGGGAAACCTGCAATTGGATTTCTCCGTGTCCTTTTCCTAAATTAAAAGGGTGAGATTTGGATCAGGGCCACAGTTGTGGGGGAAGAAGCTAACCATTCCTACCATGTAGTAACTCCAATTTAATATTTTTGTAACCTGTCCAGGGACTTTTAATATTGGAACAGCATACAAAACTTTAAATAAATAAATAATCTCCACCTGCTATCACTGGAGTGGCCAAACCAGGAAGGATTTCTGATCCGACCGAACACTAACCCAAATGTTTAATAGCAGCAGCAACAAAATGGTTCTTCCATATGCCCAAATTATACATCTGAAATGAAGAAAGCCTGTGGGAACTGGAAATAGCTCTGCGTGTAGAAGAGCCATGATTTCCATTCAGTCTGGTCTTCAAATCAAATTCTTGGCTTCAGAATTCTTTAATGTTAAATGCATGTCTTTTGCACCAGAGATGGGATGGTGTATCTTGTGGTTCTAACTGAAAAACAAAATAGTTTTCTCAAGCCTGATTCCACTCACTCCTGAACTAGAAAGTTAGGATAACACATCTATCTTTTCTTTCTCTGTGGTTAATTTGTTGAGGGGAGGAGAAGGGTGATTTAAGATGGGGAAATGGCATGGGAAGCATGCCCCACAGCACTTGCAACCCAATCCAACCTTCCCTCCTCTCAATGTCTGCTTTTAACCAAAGAAAAAGACATCTGGAGGTCCGATTACAGATCTCTCATGTCACATGTAGTTTTGCCCTATAATTTACAATCTGGATTGTTAACTTCAGTAGTATATAAACTACGTAAGAATGATGATTATTTTAGTGCTCAGAACCATTTATCTACCTCTAATAAATACTTTCTTTCAATAGAGATAACTTCCACCATTTATCCTCTATCCCCTTTAAGGACCCTGCATGACCAAACCCACCAGGGCTTTTTTATATGAGAAAAGTCATCTTGGACTTATGGTGACCCTATGAATGAATGCCCTGCAGAATGTCCTGCCCTGCACAGTCCTGCTCAGTCCTTGCAAACAAGGGTTACAGTGTTCTTGCTGAAATATCCCTCCTGAGCAAAAGTAGGCAAGTGTGCATAGATCCTGGAGGAAGAGGCCTTGGAAGGTCAGAACATTAACAAATGGGCAGGGACTGCCTGCTGCTGCTGCTTTGCTTTTTAACATGATATATTCCTGTTCCTGTTTTAAAAACAAGATCACAAATCCTTCTGGATCTGTGCATACTTAGACTGAAAAAAGTTCTCAAGTTCCCAGCATTCCCAAGCCAGCATTTTCATTTATGTCTTGCCTTTTTGCAAGAAACCTAAGGCAGCTAACAAGGTTCTCCTCCCCTTCATTTAATCCTCACAACAACCGGGTAAGGTAGGTTAGGCTGAGTCAGGGATTGGTCCAAAGTCACCCAGCGACTGGGTGTAAAATAGGGTCTGGATTTCCTGAGCCCAGAATAACTACACATGCATAATATTGCATCCTCATCCAAAGTGATGTTAGAAATTTAAAGCCCCTTACCATGTCTTTAAAAAGCAAAAACAAAAATCTTAAGTAAGATCAGTTTATCTGCTCTGTCCTACCTTCTAAGAGGCTGATGCCTATTCTGAATTGAAGGGGAGGTTATGCGATTTGAATAAACCGAAACTGTCCAGAATCCAACTTCCTGCCTCAGTTTTGCAGTCTGTGAAACAGGTATAAAAATAATGGGAGTCGAAATAACCCCAGACACTCGCAGGGAACTTTCGTTGTTTGAACGTTGCAAATAACTTGCAAATATTTAGCATTTTAATTAACTGAATGTTTATTTAAATTAATTCGATTCCAATACTCCTTTGTTTGTGAAGTGGGGCGGGAAAGCAGCCCTGACTCCCGCTCTAACGATCCACGCCCCAGTTACCTCGCCGGAGTTTCTAATTTTTCTAAACCAGGGATAAGGTCTGTCCTCGGGCGAAGCCACACACTAGAGCAACCCCGCGCCCTTCTGGCAGCCCCGCTCTGCAAGTTTGCGGCGTGACTTGGAAGCAGTGAAATGCATCGTCTCTCTCTCTCTCTCTCCCCCTGCAAGACTCGCTCGCAGAAAGGGCGGAGGGCCGGGGAGGGCCGGGCAGCGCCGGAGCGCGGGGCGCCTGGAAGGGAGCGGCGCCGACGGCGGCATGTGCGTTTGATTAGCGGCGCTTCGGCCGGGAAGCGATAAAAGAAGGCAAGCAAGGTGACCCGGAGCTTGCGCTGCAGGGCGAGGGCCACCTCGGCCCGCTTCCCTCCCCCAGGGATCTCGCCCGTCGAGGCAACCAGCAGCAGGCTCACCCTCGAGGAAAGGCGCAGCCGCCGCGGTCCTTTCGGCTCCTCTGCTCGCCTGCCGCTCAGTCTCCTCTGCACATTGGATAACCTCTGCAAGCAAAGCCAGCCTGGAGTCCCATGGCTTTAACAGCTTGTTGTTGGCAGAGGCGCCTCAAACCGCCGGCCTTGGGTCAGAGCCCACTGAGAGGCTGCCTCCCTCCCTGCCCTTCTTCCCTCCCTTCTTCTTCCCTCTGTCTTTGGGCTCTACCGCCTGAGCGAGTGTTAGGTTTCTGCCGCGTTAACTCTTTCCTCTGCAGTGCAAATGCAACAGAGCCTCGGTTTGTTTTCCCCACGTCCCGCCAGGCCCTGCTTTCGATCTGGCCTGGTCTGAGCCTGCCTTTCCCGCCCCCTTCCTCTGCATTGGAAGAAGGGAGGGTGAGAGGCAGAGAAGGGGTCTGAGAGGCCAGCGTGGCCAGGTCCATCCTGGGCACATCAGCTCTGGAATAATCCTTGCTCCATTCACTGGACTTATTCCAGGCTAGAGACAGGTAGTTATGGGTGGTGAGCAACTTGTGAACTTCTGGGCCTGTGTGCCTATAACTTTCATGCATCTTAAACAATGTTGCACATGATGAGGACTTAATGGGAATTACAGATGGTGGGCAACTAGGTAATTTTGGACCATAGCCTTAATGGCCTTCATGGAAGGCCAGGCTCATTAGGGGACCACGTGTGCTTCACAACCTGTCAGCCATCCCATGTTTTTAAGCTGCTTTTGAATTCCTGGTATGTTAAAACAACAGCAAAAGCCTTTGGCAAATCTGCCTTCACATGCACAAAAACACTCTGAGCATGTTCCCTTTTAACTCATTTAAATCATGGCATCACGGTATCTACAAATACCAAGCAGAGCTTGTTTCTGCATGTGCTGCTTTCTGCATGGGTATCTGGGGAGCCCTTAAGTTGCGGAGCCTTGAACTTTGGTCCAAGGTCCAGCCTGAGCTGCACCACTGGTTGGAAGCCCGTCAATGTCTTAAAGCACCGCTGTAAGCACTTTTGAAAGGAAAACTCATGGGGGGAAAGTCATGCTTCAGATGCATATTTGCCTCCCCTTCTGTAGAAACCTAGTGCCCATGGACCCCCCAGCCATGGTGCAAATTTGGGACATCAGTGCTAATTGAACTGGCTGCCACCATCCAGTAAAACATACCAAACCTCCTCAGTCCCCAAGCACTCTTGATCATTCAGGGACAACTGGCCAAGGATCTCAATGGGACTCTTGTTGGGCTTCTTTGCAGCTCTCTTGTGTTCTTGGGGAGCACAAGAAAACCTTAGGAGAGAGCAGCCTAGGCAATGGGTTCTGTTCAGTATGTTGCATGCAACCTAGCCTTTAAATCAGCATTAGTGTGACCAATGATTAGTGTGCCCTTTGGGAGCCTCCCCCCTCTGACCATCACAGTTCACTAGCACCTGTGAGAAGAAAAGACCCTGAGCTTCCTTTCCCAATGGGGTCCTGGCTGCTCCAGACACTGTTGTTGGAGATTGCCCAGACAATCATATGCTTCAGTTTGGCTGATATTCTGCACAATGCTGATCTTTGGTCCAGAAATGGGTTCTCAAAGGTCCTCATTGTGTGGCACACTCAGCCAGATAATTTGCATCACAGTCTCTGCATCTAGCATACATCGGCTAGTATCTCTTCTGTTCTTAGCAGAAATTGAATTAAAAAAATGAAGGGTTCAGCCTCTTAGACCTGAGTGAGTTAGTAGGGTCTGACAGAGGGGGCTGCTCCAGCTCAGCTGTAACACCTCTCCACACACAAATCCCCCACCGTAGTAAAGGAAATGAGCAAAAGGGTTGAGGCACTTGAGTTCTGCTTTAGTTAAGCTGGCTTCATTCCTTTCATACTGGAGAGTGCAACACACAAAAATGTAGTCTTCCCAAAGGTACTTTATTACAATATGGTGCTAGCCACTTCTGTGCACCTCCATCAAAAGAGCCACCTTGCATTCACTTATACAGCACATGCCTGTGTGAATGAAAGGGCAGCAATTCTGAGTAATTTAATTTGTTATGGGTGTATTTTTATGGCCAGGAGTGGAGAGAGGAGCTTGCAGGATTTTCTCCCTTGCCTACCAAGTTAACTTAGCTGGCCTTGGGGTGCTGTGTACCTTGACTGGGGTACGGTGTGCGTTTCTGTGTCTGCACATGTCCTTGCTGTTCTGCTTCAGGCAGCAGAAAACGAAATGTCCTAAGCTGGCCTTGGCTGCTGACACTGTGTGATGCAGCATATATGTGGGGTGACAACTACGACTTCCAGTAGTCCTTAGTGCTTAATTGGAATCTCTCTTTCTGGCTCTGCATCCTCCATTTTGGCAATTGACAAAGAAGGGTAAATTTCTGGCTGGTTGGCAATCCTTGCTGGAAACTTTCCTGACTTCTCTCGAACTATCCAAGATGGTTTAACAGGCTTGTTTCTGGCTGAGGCAACACACAGCTCAGGAAAATCAGCCTTGCCTTTCTTGTTGAGGGCAGAACAGCAACATCAGCAGCTTCACTGTATCTCAAGTTATTTGAGGGAAAGCTGGAGAATGCCTAACAGGAGGCTCTGACGCGGACAAATTGTTTCCATTTGTTTAGGGAGTCAAGAGTTGGCTGCAGTCAAATTCTGGTTTGCTTCCCACAGCTTGGCAAAAAAGCAAAGTGCAGAGGAACAAACAGAGATTTGGGGGAAGTATACCGGGGAAACGTGGAAGGGAGGAGAGAACGGAAGATGCTGGGTTGTTATTTTTTAAAATTGCTAACCTAAAAGCCAGCAGTGAATGAAAATAGAGGGGATTTTTCTTTGTATCCCTGGAGGAGGTGAGGTACCCCTACGTGAGCAATGGGTCAGATATGAAGCTCAGAACAAACCGAGAAGTTGTGAGTCATAATCTCAGCTTTGCTACCAGTCCTTTTGTGACCTTAGGTCATTTAATCAGTGCGACTGCTCCTTCGGGAATTCCCAATATTTCCTACACACACAGATGCATTGTTGTTATTTCCATTAGGATTCATGTCAGATGCTCTGTTGCTCAGCTTCCAGCATCATAGTAAGGCAGCATGTTGAACTCAGCTTTTGATTTCGACAAGCCATTGTCTTTAGGGAAATGCATTGGTTTCGCCTGAATCCCAGGTTGCATCATGCCCATTTGGACAATTTTCCCTCTAAAGTGCCCAAACTGTGGCTGGATACTGCACAAGGCTTCATTTTCTTCAGAAAGATAAAAATCATGCCTCCAAAAGCAGTATATGCTGTTTTCAGTCACTATATCTGTTTCTAAATTTCCCATGATAATCAATATGAAGCATAAAGCTTTAGAGTTTTTAAAAATCTTTTCTATTATTTTATTGTGCAATACAAAAACAACCAAATTACACCATAAGAAAAGACACAAAAGGAAGATGTGGGGAGAGGAAGAAAAAATATACATGCACATTTGGGGGTTTTAGATATTTTTGGATTTTTAATAACAATATTATGTTCTGTTATGCACTAATATATAAGGATACATAATATATATGTAAGCAGGGCTATGGACCTTTTTCTTTTCTCAAATACTAGAAACATAGAAAAAGAGTAAGTCAGGCTTACTCAGGGGCTTCCCAGGCCATCTAGTCTGACCCCCGGCTCTAGCTGGCTCTGCTCATGACATGCCTTCCATGTGCATGTGCAGCCTATCTTTGAATACCCTCACTGATGGGGCTTCAGCCTTCTCCCATGGAAGCCCTATGGATACTATTCAGATAATTTTGAGTCTTGACCTGGTATGAAAATCAAATCACATTACTTTCTAATCAGTCTGAACAGAATCAGGCTGTTTTCTGAAGCATCCAGTTTGAGCTCAGAGTTGAATCTTGTGGTTTTTGATTTTTCTTCTCAGCTTATCTGCCCCCTGCCCCAGATCTTTGGTAATCAAGATAACTCCAGTGGAAGCTCACCTTAATAATATACTAATTCCCATGGAAAATAAGGACCAAACAGAAGTGTGATTGAAGATGCAATGGGAAGCATGCTTGAACTGAAAAAGACCTAGAACTCCCAGGATTCTCCAGGCAACATGGCTGGCTTGAGCATGCTGGGAGTTGTAGGACCTTTTTTCTGTGTAAGCATGCATAGGACAATCTTTGCATTTAATGTGAACAATAGCATGGGTGCTATGCTGGAGAAGAACAAAGGCCTAGAGTCCAGCATTCTGTTCACAGAGTGACCAATTAGATGACTATGAAAAATGGATAATAGCACAGGGACAGCATCTTCTTCCCCCTTTTTTTTCTTTTTAAGATTCAGATAGCAGCTACCAGTCTGTGTATATGATAATGATTAGCATTGCAGTTGACAGCAGGGTCAGGAGCCGCTTCAAAGGATGATATTCATCGAGCTTGAAACAAGGAAGGAAAGGGTTTATTTTCAGCTTTTTGCCAGCTGTGATCACTGTAATTCTTAGCCTTTTCCACAAGCAGTTTCTATTTGCATTAAAAAAAACCCCTGCATGTTAAATAGAATGATATATTTAATGTTGCATTTAGTTTGTCCCCAAGATGTGAAATGTGAGTGCCATATCTTAATGTGGTGTGCATGATTATAACTAAGTTGAATAGCACATATGGTATATCATCCAAGATGATTCACTAGGTCTGTTTCACAAACAAGTATTTTTATTGTACAATTGCCCTGCCTATTGTACAATTCACAAAAATATATGCAGGGCCTAGACAATGTCACCCGATATTTCCCACTGTTGCTTCAGTCTTTTTTTTTAATTACCAGGAAAAAAAATGTTAGGGCACAATGCCTGCAAACATGTGAACTTGGAAGATTACAAGCATCCTCTGTGGGCACAGACTCATGGGAGAATCCCTGTGCTGATTGTTCTGATTATTCAAATTCTGATTTTGAGGATGAAACTGTTTTTGAAGCAGTACAGCCTCCAGCTGCAGTTCAAGGTCCTGGGACCCAACAGGAGGTAGCAGTGGGAGAGATTAGTCCAAGAGCAGGCAGAGAGGCAGATCAACTTGTCCCTGGGG